CATTCAAATATATCTCAAGTTTCCTTCATACATATAAATAAATCCTTATCTCTTTTACTATATTTACATGGTTATGAAACACAACCTTAAACCAATACATGTTACACTTGGTTAACTTAGTCTGACATTCTTTTTCCGATCTTTTAAACTCTATTATACTCTCCCCTTTGCATGATTTTTTTTCTAATACGATACTTTAAGAAAAATTTATCGTGTTCATAAAATTCAATTTATTTCTGCCTCAAGTATGCCTAATACTTCTGTCGATTAGATGTCATCTTGAAATTATCTTTACTTTATCCTCAACCACTTTCAATAAATCCTGGAAAATAAATTCCGATCCTTTAACTTGAACCAAATTAATGATGTCTGACATTTTCTCCCAAATAAAACTTCATACAGAGTCATCTTAATGCTCAATTGATAATTGTTATTATAGACAAATTCTACTAAAGGTGAATAATTTTCCCAAGATTCTTTGAACTCAATCATACATGTCCTTTTTAAAGTATGAATCATATGTTAAACTCACTATTTGTCTATGCATAGATATCAATGCTACAATTAATTTAAATTCCTAAGACCTTTTCAAAGATTTCCACAACTTTGAGATAATCTTAAATCTTCATCAGATATAATTAAGACATACAATTTACAAAATCCAACAATCTTTTCATATAACCTTACATACTTATCCAATAAATATTTACCTCAGTATTATAAAGGATACTAACTTAATCAGTTTCTTCATAAACCTCCAAATTTAGTCTTTACTGAAATTATGATACAAAATTCATAACTCTTTATCCTTTCCACTTAGAATTGAAAAAAATTCTTACTTTTATACCAAACTTATACTTTACACCTCATCATAACCCTTTTCATTCTTAAACCTTTAAACTCTATCCTTTAATTTCCTTATCTCTTTATTCCTTCACAAATCAAAATCTCCTTGCAATCTTAATCATTTCATTCATTTTTTACTCCATTACGTTTTTCATATCTATATGAAAAACATCATAATAACACTTGTACTTATATTTGATTAATAATATTTATCACATTTTCATAATCTTAATATTTAACATTATTTTCACATAACTTTATTCTTTATCATTTCTTATACTTGCATTATTTTTATTCCTCAAAGCGTCTTTTAAAACCTGTAAATATTCTTCTCATTGCCTTAATCATATATATATATATATAGGATCCAAATACCTAACCATATTCAAATCCATATCATACTTGATTAATTCACTTTATATTTTCTTCCAATCAGAATTATCTCAACAATAGTTTACTTAACTTATCAAATCCACATTCATTCTCATGTACCATGAAATTTTATTTGTTCACTCTTAACATTTCAACATCTTCTATCTTATACAATAATTACTAACATATATATTTCTTAAACTTTTTCCGAAACAATATTCACATCAATAAATCTTCCATTATTTACATTACAACATTTATTTACCATATTTTAGCTCAACTGCATAGCAACTAAATTATCTCATTTAAATTCTCCACTTTATAATAGTGGATATCCTTTAACATTATTTAATAGCACCTCAATTTTTAAACGAAATCTTTAATTTTTAATCTAGGTTACAACCTTTATCCACTCAATCATATACCATATTTTCAATCAAATTATTATTATTATTATTATTATTATTATATATATATATATATATATATATTCCAATGATATCTTACTTAACTTTTCAAACTTGGACTTTTACTCACACGCAATATTATTTCTCTGATTAAAATCAAACGTTATAACTTCCTTTATCTTATAAATTGTTCACCGACTTACTCATTCTCAAACTTTTCTATTACTCTATATCTTCTCTTGAACATTCAAATCATTATCTCACATACACATACTTAAACTCATTTATATCCCTTTAAAATAATTTTCTTGCTTCAATTTTCATAACTTCTAACAAAGCTTTTAACCCAATTCATAAAGGTTGTCTTTAACTCTGACTTGTCATCAATTAACTCCTTATTTAATCTTCAAATATCAGACCCTACTGCTTTAGTCTGTCTGACTCTCATCTGATTTGATTCTCTGGCGAAGAATACAACTAATTCATATCTGGTTTGAAGTTGAAAGTGGAATCTCTAACTTTCTTTAATGGTGCTTAACTCTATTAAACACTAATTCTCTTAATCATCTGAATTTTTGTCCCAATCCTTTTATTCTTAGCACTCAATAGAATTTTAACGCGATTAATCATTTCTTGAATTGAGAAAAATTTCAAAACCAGTAACACTCTTTTAATTTAAGGCGCAAGCCCTAAACAACCAATCACATATTCTTCCTTATCCTTCCTAATCAAAATCAACACAACAATAAATCTGTTTAAGTTATTAAACTTATACTCATACACATGCATGTGTAACTTCTTTGTTAATCTCATATATTCGAGCTTCATTTGTTTTATAAAGGGATCATTCATGTACTTATTCATAAATTCTTCTACAAATGATAACCACGTCACTTTATATTTTAACCCTCTTATGGTGACATTTATTCACCATACTTCTAGCTTACCTACGTAGTAATAAAACTACTCAATTTAACTTCTCCACTTTGGAGAAATGAAAATTTTCTAATATTATATTCCTACCATTTAATCAAATTTCCATAACAATGGAACATTTCTCAAATTCACCCTTAAACTCGGGTGTTCTCAACTATTTTAATACATTAATTCTATGAATTATAGAAGTATAAAATTAAAACACATCATAATATCATTCAACATCATGAATCACTCTTTAATCTTATACAGGCATTCCCTGAGGTTTTCGCTCTTCTCCCTTCCTGGCCAGGGCAGGTGAATGCTATTACCTTCAAGTCTATCACCTTGTATTTCACTTTAGAAACTCTTATGATCATATATCTAATATAACATAGTATTTTAATTCTATTAGCAAGACAATACACTTACTATTCCATCAGATCAGAAGTTTTCACTATTTTGTTGGTATGTATACCTTATAAAACGCTCTAGACTCCATTTTATGCCGAGAATCGACTAAACCTTAGCTCTGATACCATTAAATATAACACCCCAACCCGTACCCGACCCGAATACAAGTCTGAGGTGTCACATTGACTTTTCAAAATTTGACTCTTTTGAAAAACAGAGAAATTTAAAACTTTGTTTAAAGCAAAATACATTAATTTACATAAAAATGACCACAAAATACAAACACCATCAGAGTACTCGTAATTAACGACTTATTACATGCCAACACTCTATACACACCAAAATACATACTTTGTCGATTACTTCTGATCTGATCTTCTAGTAATAATATTGTCCTGGCCACTTCTATTCTTGCTCTTTTCGTTTCTTGGTACCTACGTGTAAATCACTTACACGCTAAGTCATAGACTTAGTGAGGCAATAAATAAACATTTAACAACCAATTCATGAATATACATTCTTATCATTTGATCATGACATTTCAACAAGCATGTATCTATTACACGATAACATATATAAGCATGTCATGCACATGTAAAACTTACCTTCTTGTGCCACTTTCACTTTAATTTATCTTTCAATTGTATTGCCCATGTATATTATTGAGAATAGAGGTATGCGAGTACACTGAGGTTGTGCACACATATGTTGTCACCACAGCTCGTATAAATGTCCCGAAGGACCTATCATCCCGAAGGATATCATCTGTGTCCCGAAGGACCTATCATTCTGAATGATGTAATCTGTGTCCCGTAGAACCTATCATATGTCTTATAGGACATATGTAACCCTCGACTCTTGGCATGCCAACTATACCTATAACTCTCGTATCATATACTATGGGCATTTATTATGAATATGTTTCTCATCACTTGTTCTTTCTCTTCTATCATATACCACATGTGTATGTGTAACCATGTATTTCATATCATATCACATGTATCACGTATTATATATTCATATGTCATTTCATATCATATCATATGTATCACGTATTGCATATTCATATGTCATTTCATATAGTCACATAGCTTATCTCATTTCACATTGGTCATGTCTCGTAACATATATCACATATGCATATTATGTAACATATATAATAACCTATACTCATTTCATGTATTCATGCACATATAAGAATCACCAATCAAATAACATTTTAGGAGTCACTTCTTACCATAGTAACTCCATCACTGACTCATCGCAAGCCAATGTTCGTTCAATAATATAAGTATAATTAAAATTGCACTCACCTTAGCCTTGTTTGATTTGAATCAATTTTAATCCTTTGATTATTCCATAACTTGTTTAGGCTCAATATCTACATAAATATAACATTTCAAAACAACTATTAGAAGCCTAAACCTTAACCTTGATGTTAACAACTTAAACCGGTTTAATGAATCAAATTCCATTTTTTCATTTAGGGGGGAATCGATACCCCCCCAGGGGGAATCTGTTCCCCCTACACATACTGGAATTTTCGTCCAAGAGGGGGAATCGATTCCCTTCATAGGGTATCGGTTCCCTCTACCCAGAAATTGTATTTTAACCCCGAAAATCATCAATTCTTCACTTAATTCTTCTATTTTAAACCACTATCATGTCATTAAACTCAACTACCATTACTTAAACCAACTTATATCCATGAAAATCATCTATAACTTCAAAATCCTATCCTTCATATGTAATTCAAGAATCATACTCAAATTTTAATATTTTCTAAATATAATTCTAACACTTCATATTCCTTAATTAGCATGATGACAAGTCAAATTTAACTTCAAATTCAACTTATCAACTCTTTTCCATGATTTCATATAAAAACTCGTTTTCTTAAATCTCTTATAACTTCTTCATCTTTTGATTATAATACAACTTAAGCTTTCCTTAAGCTTATTTATCATCTAATGATCCAAACATAACCTTTAATTTAACAAATAATCAACAAATCAGAAAACCCTTACCTTATGCTCTGCACGTTGGAGAAGAAGAAGGTAAGAAGAAGAAGAGTTTTCTAAATACTCTCCCCCAACGTTTATCTCTTCCTAAAGAGATAAAAAAATATCTTTCATGATAAATGACCATTTTGCCCCTTAATTCCTTTGATAATTACTAATAACTTTCAGGAAATATTTATGAACAAATCATTGAACTATTCAATCATCTTACTTTAATCACCAAATTTTGAAACTTTACAATTTAATCACTAACACGTATTTTGGGATGTTACAAAGACGCCTAATGTTTTGGACTTCGTTAGAAATAACCATTTTTCTTCAGATTAATTTCGTTGTGGGTGGATTATTTGAACATTATTATGTATAAAATTGTTGTGTATGTATGTTTGGTTTGCTTATATTGTGTGTATAATTTCATTCGATTCACATAATACACATAATGCACTATTTTCAATTTAAATATACTAAAACATATAACACAATAATTGTATATTTTAATATTCCACAGTAGAACATGTGACTTACACAGTAAATATTCCATTCGGATGGGGCAGTGCAAATGTAACAATCTATCTATCTCTTCTTCTCTTCCATGTCACTGCTTTATTCTCATGTGACTTGATGGTACATAACACATGTTACTTGAACAATAGAAATCAATTATGCAATTTTCATGTTCAATTTAAGACTGCATTTCATGTTCATTTCATTTTTAGTTGGAGTTTGAATTTCAATTTTAATTTGAGTTTGAATTTTAATTTAAATTTCGGCTCCACTATAAATATGAGCTGGAGCATTTGTTTCATTCAAACAACAACTTGCTCAATGCATCGGGAGGTAACATCAAATGTCATTTCTAAGGTAACAACAACATTTTTCAATACTTAATAACTTAGACAATTTGCATGTTATCATTGATTATTCATAATTTCCATTGTTTTTTTCCCAATTTGAAACACGACGTAAATCCCGACCTTCATAATTTTGAGGAACAAGCTGGGATATTGGATATGTGAATAATACCTTTCGGATATTATCCATTTCAGCCAGTTGATTGAGATATGTTAACCCTAAACTAAAACCTTCGGAGCAAAACATACCTGATGTAAAAGCAGATGCAGATTTAAAATCGTAACGATGATGCATTTGGTTCTCAAATAGTTAAAACGTCAGAAACGTTTCGAACGTATGATCTGGGTGGTATACGGAAAATGCAACGAAAGACAACTAAAATTCCTGATAATTAAGGGCTACAACTTGTAATAATAATAAAAATAATTGAAGGATACACATGTATAAAGTATCGATACTTAGCCAAATTAACAATATAAATGGTAAAATTCTACCGGTGCAATGATAATAGGCGTACATGACAAGCGTCTCAACTTGTCATTTACGACTATTTTTATTATATCGAAGCATTTTTATCCGTTTATATTGTTAATTTACCTATTACTTTAAAGTAATAGGTTTTGAAATTCCAAGTACTGATACTTATAATTTACGTGTGTATCTTCCATTATTTAACATTATTATTAAAACATCTAGCGTTTAATTCTCAATAATTTTTTGTTGCATTTTGTTGTATTTCCCTTGTAACACCCAAATCATAAGTCTTATATGCTTCTGATGCTTTAAATGTTAGAGAACCAATTAGATCGCCTTCGAGATTTTAAATATGTAGCTGTTTCTACATCAACTATGTTTCTCTAAGACGATTTCAGTTTACGGTTCTCCTATCTTTATGAGCTGAATGAAATGAATACTATTCGGAAGGCATTCTTCACATATCCAATCTTTCTGCTTGTTACTCAAAATTATGATGGTCGGGATTTCCCTCGCGTTTCATTAAGGTTGATTGCTCCGAATATATAACGACATTTTATCTCTGAAGCGTTGTTAGTTGATTGCTCAATATTTTATATCCATATTTACGTCTTTGTATCGATACACATACTACACATATCTATATTTTATATTTGAGGATTGTTGAAATATTGATACTAGTTATTAAAGTATTTTATATTTGTCTGTAAATGTTTAACATCCCAAACTATGGGTTAGTGACCAAATTGTAAAAAGTTCAAAAGTTGGTGATTAAAGTATAATTTATTGAAAAGTTTAGAATTTTAAAGTGATAAATTCTGGTATTGGATTAAATTGTGAGTAAGGAAAGTATGAAGGGTAAGGTGGTCTTTTCATGAAAAAGATATTTATCTCTTATTTAAGAGATAAGCATGGGGGTTGAATGGGCATCTGGAAGCTTATATTCTTCTCCTTCTTCTTCTCTCCGTAGGTCTCCAATAAAGATAAGTTTTCGATTTAGTTAATTATTTGTTAATTTTAAGATTGGGTTTTGATCATTAGATGATAACTAAGCTTAAGGAAAACTTAAGTTATCTTAAAATCAAATGATGGAGAAGTTATGAAAGATTAAAGAAAATGGGTTTTTAAGTGAATTATTGGAAAAGAGTTGATAAGTTGAATTTGAAACTAAATTTGACTTGTCATGGGAGTGAATAAGAAGTTATAAGTGTTAAATCAAAGTTTGGATAACATAGAAAATTTGGTATGATTCTTAGCCTTAAGAATTTGGATGAAATATGGAAGATTATAAGGTGTTGGACTGATAGGAATTGGTTAAAGTTGTTATAGAAGAATTTAGTAGCATAATAAGAATTTTATGCATGAAAATTTGGGTGAAGTATTGATGAATTTCGGGTGGAAATAGTCTATTTTGGGCAAGTGCATCGATGCACTATGAGTGTGTACCGATGTACTAAGACAATTTTTGAATGTGCATCGATACATTAAGGGGTGCATCGATGCATGGAGATTTCGAAGCTATTTTGTGTACCGATGCACCCATAGTGCATCGATACACTCCTAAAGGAAAAACTGAAATTGGGTTCATTAAATTAGCTCAAGTATCAGTATCGAATTATAAGGTTTAGGCTTCTTATAATTGTCTTGAAAATTATATTTATGTAGATATTGAGCCTAACAAGTTCCGGAATAAGTGACAAGTAATCGATCGAGAAAAGGAAAAGGGATATAGGTGAGTGCATACTATAAGTATGTAATGGAATAAGACTTGTGATAAGTCTAATTCCTATTTTGATTTTCATAGTACAATAGTTATGAACATGCATACATTATAATTATTATGATACATGCATACATGATGATTATTATGATACATGCATAAAGTATATATGTTCATATGATTTGATAAATGATATATCTTAAAAGTCCCAAATGCACATGTAATATGATAAGTTATATGAGTTATGTGATCACAAGAGAAATGACATGAATACACGAACACATGAAACATAAGAATAATGCCCATGGTATACGATATGAGAGCTATAGGTATAGTTGGCATGCCAAGAGTCGAGGGTTCTACATGGTCATTCAGGACGTATATATATATATCCTTTGGAACATTTATAGGGTCTTTTGAGACATATTTGATCCATTGGAATATGTATATGGTTCTTAAGGAGTGGTCATTCAGGACAAATACAATACATAGGTCATTCGGGACAATTTCATAGCCCCTAGTGAGACCCCATACGAGCTTTGGTGACAACAATAGTGCACAACCTCAATGTACTCGAATACCTTGAGTTCTCAAAAATATACATGGGCCTATAAAAGGTTATCAAAGGTAAGTGTATTATTATACTTATATGTTATCATATTATTATTGTTTATATTGAATTGCATATGATATGATTGAATGGATAGATTGCATGTTCATATTCATACAGAATGGATTATTATTATATTTACATGTCTCACTAAGTCTATGACTTAGCGTGCAAGCATTTACACGTAGGTATTGAGAAGCAGGAAGATCAAAGCTAAGCTTAGCAGAACAACATAACTCCACTTGAAGGTCAGATCAGAAGTAGATTAAATGGTATGTTGTATTATATGAAAATAGGTTGGCATATAAACAAAGTTGGTAAATTAAGTATTTATGCTCTGATCAAGTTTTGTAATGTTTTAAACGTATTTATGTAAATGTAAATGTATATAATGAACGGTTAAATTTTTACGAGTTTTATGAAGTTTTACGAAAGTCATTGTAGCAGTGCATCAATGCACAAATTTACTCCGAAATTTTAGTGCATCGGTGCACTGTAGCAATGCATTGATGCATTGTAGCATTGTTCACGACACTGTTCACGGTATTGTTCATTAATGTTTATACCGTATTTTACTGTTCATGAATACGTTTTTGCCTTAAATTTTTATAATGAAGCATAATTCAATAATATATCATCGTATTTTCTTAAAATGAGTTCAAATGTTTGGTTATTTTGGAAGAACATCGTTTTAAAATTTCAATGTGACATCTAGGACTCGTATCCGGGTCGGGTACGGGTTGGGGTGTTACATTATTAAAGTATTATTTTTTATAATCTCGACAACAAAGTTTTCATACTTATATTTCTAAACCGATTAAATTTTGAGGGTTATTTTGGAAGAACATCGTTTTAAAATTTCAATGTGACATCTAGGACTCGTATCCGGGTCGGGTACGGGTTGGGGTGTTACATTATTAAAGTATTATTTTTTATAATCTCGACAACAAAGTTTTCATACTTATAATTTCTAAACCGATTAAATTTTGAGAAAATGGTAAAAATTTTAAACAATCGATTAAATATAACATATTGAAAATAGACACAACCAGCTTCTATAATTGCGCCTATAAAGTATCGATACCTAAGAAACATATATCGATACATGACAATATAACAAGTTAAAAATTGACAAAACTGGTTTCAATATAAATAACTTAACAGGAAAAAAAATTAACAAAATCAGTTTCCATAACTGGCCTATAAAGTATTGATACACGTATGAAAAATATACATTCTTAAAACTTCGAAACCAATTACTTTAAAGTAATAGGTAAATATACAATGTAAACTGTAAAAATATATCAGTTTAATGGTAAAATACGTTTATGTAAAGTATTGATATTTTTGGTATATGTATCGATATTTGTTGTCCAGTATGCTTCCCAAACTAGATGCAGGTATGAAGTATCGATACCTATGACACACATATCGATACATGACAATATAACATGTTAAAAATTGATAAAACCAGTTTTAATATGAAAAAAACGGTAAATATCTATCGGTTTTGAAAAAAACGAAATGTCTCGAAAGTATCAATATTGTACATAAAAGTACCGATACTTCTATAAGGGTAATGGTATCGATTTTAAAATAACATAGCAGGTTCATCTTTTTGACAAAACCGGTTTTCATAATTGCGCCTATAAAGTATCGATAAACGTATGAAAAATATCGATTCTTAAAACTTCGAAATCGATTACTTTAAAGTAATAAGTAAATATATAATGTAAGCTGTAAAAATATACCGATTTAATGGTAAAATACTTATAAATGTATCGACACATACACATATTCCATACTTATAATTTTGAAACCTATTACTTTAAATTAATATATTAATTTCCAATGAAAACGGTTAAAGTCAATCGGTATCATTTATAATATGCGTAAACAATTACCATGTTGATAAAGCTTGATAACAAATCAAATGGTTAACCGATTATGTTATCGTCGAATTCCTAAGGCTCCATTAATTAAATTTTGTTAACATTTAGGTGTTACCTAATATGTTGATAATACTGATAACAAATTAAATAATTAACATATTTTGTTATCGTCGGATTTCTAAGGCCACATCAACTTTAATAATGCGCAACTTATTACGTTACATAAGCGCTACCTAATATGTTATTATGCTTGATAATGTTTCCATTAATTAACCGGTTATGTTATGGTCAGATTTCTAAGGCTCTATCAGCTTAAACTTTCAATGTAACATTTTAGGCGTTACCTAATATGTTAATAATACAAATAACAAATTAAGTAATTAACCTATTTTTTTATCGCCAAATTTCTAAAGTCCCATCAGCTTTAAAAGGGCGCTACCTATTACGTTATATAAGCGTTGCCTAATATGTTATTATGCTTGATAATGTTTCCAGTAATTAATCGGTTATGTTATCGTCGGATTTCTAAGGCTCTATCAGCTTAAACTTTGGTAACATTTTAGGTGTTACCTAATATGTTAATAATACTAATAACAAATTAAGTAATTAACTTATTTTGTTATTGTCGGATTTCCAAAACCCTATCAACTTAAAAAGGCGCTACATATTACGTTATATAAGTGCTACCTAATATGTTATTATGCTTGATAATGTTTACAATAATTAATTGATTATGTTATCGTCAGATTTCCAAAGCCCCATCAGCTTTAAAAAGGCGCTACATATTACGTTATATAAGCGCTTCCTAATATGTTATTGTGCTTGATAATGTTTCCAGTAATTAACCGGTTATGTTATCGTCTATATTTTTTTGACGCATTTTACATAGGACGATGACATAACCGATTATTACATTTTTTATTACTGTAATCTTTTAAATATTTTGATTTGAATATTTATAATTCAAATTATAAAAATATATAATAATAATTTGATAAAATATACATTCCAATAATTTTTTGTTCATTCAACCAAACACTGTAATCTTATATTCCTGTCAAACAAACTAAATATAATAATATTATATTCCCTGTAATATAACCATATGATAATCATATTCCAAAAGGTAATGTTATATTCAATTAACTAAACGCCCTTTAATACCAGGTTTTTTTTATTTTTACTTATAACCATATGATTTTCAGGATAAAATATTAAAATATTTTAAATAAAATTTAAAAGTTAAATTTTGATATTTACGAATGAAATATAACAAATAAAAAAGATTGCATCTATGGACTTATATAAAATTATATTCAAAATAATTAATTAATATATTAAATTGTCAAACCTAAAAATATTATTTGGTTTTCGAATTAAATGCAAAGAACCCATAGAGTATTAATATTATGGATGGATTGAGAGGGAGACAGTAATGGTAATCACCCTATTAAAAATTTCAATTTATATATATATATAAATATTTTTTTACATTTGTATTAAGTTATTTTTATCTTTTTAAACTTTTATAAAATTTTCTCATCTTAAAATTTAAAAAATTTATTTTTCTAATATAAAATTATGTATTTGTTTCTGAATAATACCTATGAGAAGCTTCGTCCATCTCTTGTGTCCGTATATAGTCGAGTGCCGGATTGAACATGGTTGTTGGTCCCATATCGCTATTTATCATTATCGTTTTAGTTTCAGATTGATATTAATAGTCTAAATTGAATTTCAACGTATGTTTCCAATATTGTTTTTTAACGAAGTGTTTATATATATATATATTTTAAACATTTTTTATATTTTTCCGTTTACTATTTTTTAATTAATCAATTTTTATTTTATGAAAAAGATTATAAGAAATATATATATATTTAAATCATGAAATATAAGATTAGAGTTAGAAATAAAATCATGAGATAATATTATATTAAATATTTGTATTATCTTATTAGTTAATTAATTAAATTACAGAAATAAAAAAAATATGTTTGTATTATCTTATTTAGTTAATTGATACAATATTTTAAAATCCTTATTAACTTAATTATTGCGGATTTGATTTTTTTAGTGAAGTGATTTGATTGAACTTTTAAATGAGTAGAATAATTTAACGTGGAAAAGACTTTCATTTTTGTTTAGTTGGGTGGGAATGTATGGACAATAATTATCCGATATGACGTCAGTAACTTGTCGCCCAAGTATTCGACCCGAAAATAAAATAAATATATTCCATTTCTCTACTTGTCAATGATATAGCCAGTTGGTCCAAATTCTTTATTCTATGCTACTTGGTATGCACAGCACTTCTACTTATTAGTTAATACTTGATATTATCCATATATTTTATACACAATCATCTCTTATTTTATATTCAAGAAAGCAATTGTTTAAAAAAGGGTAAATTACTTGAATAGTCCATTTTATTTTCGGTTTGACCGAATTTGATCATTAATTTAAAAATTAAGATTACATGGTCATAACGTTATCGGTTCGTTCGATTTTAGTTCATAAGTTATCGATATGTTCGATTTTAGTCTCTCAGCTATGCCACATATTCGTTAAGGATTAACGACGTAGGGACTTAAACTAGACAGACCAATAATGTTAATGACCATTTTCCTTTAATTTTTAAATTGGTAACCATAATCGGACAGATCCTAAAAAAAGGGACTATTACTCAAAAACATTCTAAAGCAAGTGGTAAAAAATTATTATTGACTATACATTATTATTTATTAAGAATGATTCTAAACAAATATTATAGTAAAAATATTATTTCTTATAAATAATTTGAGTTTAAGAAATTATATTTACAAAGTATATATTATTATTTATTAAGAATGATTCTAAACAAATATTATATTAAAGACTTTAGTTTAAAAAACTTCTCTTGGGCCTAAATTTTGAAAACCCAGTGCTGATTTGGACTAATTCCAAGGGGGTTTATGGCTTTAGGCCTAAAAGAAACAAAGAACGGAAGAAGGGTTTGTCTTTCCTTCCAATTGCTCCGGAAACCTTTAGAACGAAAAAGAAGAAGCGAAAACATGGGCAAAGAAAGTGAGCTTTGGGACGACTCTGCCCTTATCGACGCCTTCGACAACGCCATGTCCAAATACAAGGTTTCCCTCTCCATTCTTTACCTTCAATTTTATTTGGGGTTTAGGGTTTATGATTTTGGTTCAATGATATTTGTATTTTTGCTGCAGAACATGCATGGAAAGAAAAGAGCCAACGTCTCTGTCTCTGTCTCTGTTCATCAAAGCTGTGACGAGGCAATCAAGTAAGCCTTTGTTTTCTTTTCTTTTTCATTTGTCCTGTTTTACGGGTAATAATAGTGTGTTATTTGCAGATGTGTAATTTTTTGCGGAATTTGCTGAAACTGTTATTCAATGGAATATACTCTTATTTTATTAGACTGGGGAATGCCGTAATTTCTCTTGCTTATCGAATGTAATGTTAATCTAAGCTCAACATTTGGTAATTTTGTTTTCTTGTTCGTTCTTGAAGACCCAGGGATGCAGGAGAAAACAGCAATGCCAGAGTAATTACTGGAACAGAAACAGAGGGGGCTAAGGATCTTGAACCGGTTAAAGACAATCATACTGTTAAGTTACAGATCCGGAACCTTACATAGGTCTGCCAATGCAAGATAAGCAAGATGGGAATAATGGCAATTTGGATTCGCAACGCGTGCAAGACTATAACCAGTTAATAGGCCGATATTACGAGATTGAAGAGAAGAGGCAGACTATTCTGCAGCAGCTTCAGCAATATGGTAATTGGGATTACCAATATTCAGCTGAGGGTTCTAGCACAGGTGCACAATGTGGTACCTCCTGTGTTTCTCTAGAATACCCCATTCTTACAAGTCAAGCTTCACAGTCCACCGGCATCTGTTCTTGTTGCCCATATGTATGTCAAACTTTGGGGACTCCATGCACATCATATCCTTGCTGTTCTTTAGATGGGACATCTGTTGTTAAAACAATCACCGATCGAAATGGTTCAACAAGTCATGGAAACTCACCTAAGATCATAAACTCTGACATTGTTCAAACGGCTATGGATGCTGCAGAAAGATCCTCTTTGGCGACAAATGCTCCTATTAATCCAAATGTAAATGAAGGTAAGTATGCTTTCCCAAGTGTCCTAAAATGTTTATCAGGCTTTTGTTTTATTCTGTCAAGCATGTTTTGTAACATGTTATTAGAAATGAAATGCTTATAAATTTAGACCAAGTTGATTAGCGCACAGTGCCTTATTGTTGTCTGATAAAATGAAGTTTTTGTTTAGCAAAATTTTCATGTACTTATTTAATTTTTCATAAATTCATGTTTGCATTGAGTGCAGAGAACAAGGAGAAGAAAGATGGTGAAGAGGAAATGAATCATCGTCTTTGTGAAACCAATCTCAGTGTACTTTTGAATGCCTGGTATTCTGCGGGCTTCTACACAGGAAAGTAAGTAATTCCACAATGCCACTTCTCTCGATTGTCAGAAACATGAATTCATATTTTTCTTCGAATGATGATGTTGAATGAGCATCTGCAAAATTATATCTTTCATCGAGTAATTTCATTACACTGCCTTACTCAGATGTAACAGTAGTTTGTTAACCTCTGCTATTAATGAAAATGTTTGCAAGTGTGCCTTTTAACACATATATCGAATCAAATGATAGAGTTGTGTGTTGAGCTCTCTAATCATGGAAGTTTGACATTGATATGCAGGTACCTTGTTGAGCGGAGTATTGCCCAGAAAAAGCAGTGATATGCATCCTTTTTATGCAATGCGGGAGTGAGTTGTTACAGGGCGAGAGGTTCCTAATATTGGGTCTGGTGAGAGAGGAATGTACGAATGTATGGCCAATATACGAAATCCGGACAACATGCTTAGATTTCGGATATTCGAACAAATTCAGAAGTTATCTGATTACGATTACAGCTGCAAGGTTTAAGGAACATTGCTGCTTATGATCTTGGTACTTTGTATAGACTTCGGATTGTACTGTATACGTGTTGCTTGTTTTTTCAGCACTGTTCAAAGTATTAGGAAAGCCATTAGCCATCAAAATTATTAACATTCATTTTTGTTGATTTGGATTCGAAGTAGGGACATACTTATTACGAGATTCAGATACCGAGAGAAGTTAAATTGGTTTAAGTAAAAAAAAAGGATTTATTAAATATTTGAATTTAAAAAATAGGATAAGTTTTATTTAATTAATATTTAAATTATAAAATATTAAACACCTAACATAATGTCTGAATCGTTTCGAAGAATTATATATATTTCAAAATAAAAATATTATATATATCACCTTTTAACACGAATTAAGTTATCTCAATAATTAAAGGGATGATTATTATCTTTAAAGGTTTTAAGTTCGAGCGATTGAGATTGTAAAAGTATTTAAACTTTTGTTGTGAAATAATTAAGAATATATATATATATTAGTAGCTAATAGTATTCAAACCTTCAATTCTTTAAATTTATTATATAATTAATACTGAATTTTTATGGTAGAACAAAGTAGTATATTTACTAAGGTTATGGTATAACGGTAGGATTAGTAGAAGGCGTAATTATTTTTTTTCTATTCACAATTTGATTAATATATATTTAATAAAATTAGAAGAATGGATGGTCGGGATTGAATCTTGAGATCCAATCACGGTTAATGAGTATATTTATTGATTATGCGAGGCGATTCGTTGTTGTTACTAGTTTGGCAATTGGGAATTTAGGGCAAAAATGGCGAGAGAAAAATCTAGCAAGGACAACGCTCAAGCTCTCTTCAATTCTCTTCGTTCTGCTTATGCTGTCACTCCCGTCAATCTCAAGGTATCTCTCGCCCTCTCTTTCCTTCCCTTTCCACTCTCACTTACTTTTTCTAATTACTCTTCTTCTTTTTTGGGGGTGGTTGTTCTAAGTACAGATTATTGATCTATATGTGGGTTTTGCAGTCTTCACCGCTCTGATTCAGGTACTTCCATCCACCTTCAGAATTCGGTTTCCTTTCCTTGATCTTTAGTCATTGAAATTCATGGATTTGTTCTTGCGGGATTTATAGTTTCCTTTGCAGATTTCCATGAAATGCACGTAACAAGTAGATAATCAGAATAAGAAATTGGAAATGCGAGTGTTTATTTAATGAACTAATGAGTTTGATAAATATCATGCTGAACATTTTGAAATTCATGAAAACCAGCTTTAAATAGAATGTATTTTGTTTGAGTAGTTTTATCTCAATACAGTTAGTTCTTTTTTTTAATCAAATGTTCTTTGAATTGGATCGTTCCTGAATCTTGGCTTCCATTGAGGATCCACAGGTGGTTTACATGGCTACTGTGGGATCATTTCCTTTCAATTCTTTTCTTTCTGGAGTACTTTCTTGTGTTGGGACTGCTGTCCTTGCTGGTAAGCACAATTTATATAATCACTCTTTGCAAGAAAAAAAGACCTGTCTAATACCATTTTGGTTCTGATCGGATGCAGTTTGTCTCCGTATTCAAGTGAACAAAGAAAACAAAGAATTCAAGGTTAGCATTTTCAAGTTCTGTCTTACATTCCAGTAGTTACTGTTACTGAGTCAGGGGAGGAAAATCAGGTCAACTTAATATCCATCGAACTCCAAATTGTGGAGTTCAATCAATTCAACCTGCTGGAATAACCTATTTTTCCTTTGAAGTTGTTTTCCATCACCCAAAGGTTGAGTTGTGGGAACAGGGTGTATTCATGTATGTATATAGGAGTGAACATTTGATTGCTTGTTAAATTGCAAATTGATAATACGCTCGTATCAATTGCAGGATCTACCACCTGAGCGAGCTTTTGCAGATTTTGTACTCTGCAACTTGGTTCTCCATTTGGTGATCATGAATTTCCTTGGATAAAATTGTATCTCCAGGTTTGCTGGGATGCTGTTTTCTATGTTTCTGGTGGTGATTCATAATTATAACTTGAAATGAAATCCTTAGGTCACCATTTTGCTTTTGTGCACAGCACACGCCTAATCCCAAACTGTAGTAAGATTTTTTATTTTATGGGAAACAAAAGATTTTTTAGTATTGATTTGCTCATTCTGATTACTTTCCGAGATGGATTTTCACATAAGGCAGTTTAGATTTGGTAAGAAAAGGGCCTTTTCCATTGGTAAGCCAGCCCATAACAGCAATGCATCACTACAAATGGGCAATCTATTTTGCATATTTTGGCCATTTGCAACCCATTCTAAAAAGGTAGAGATTCATGCAGAGGAATTCATTGAGTGACTTCAATTGTAAAGGAAATATTGTTCTCCCTAGAAGATCTAGGTGCGATTTGCAGAAATATTGTTCTCCCTAGAAGATCTAGGTTTGATCTGCAGGGTGTGTACGTAGACTAAGAAAAATTCTAAATAGATATCTTGTAATCACACTAGACTATTCAAAAAAAAAATCATATAGAACCAATGAACTGTTCCAGTTTTGAAAGGAATATTGTTCTCCCTAGGTGACTTGGCTTTGAGCAATTTTATTTGCAAGTGTGAGTTTAGTCAAATTTAAAATCTGATATAGATACTATCTTGTGATCATATTAGAATGATAAATAAAAGAGAGATACGTGCAGATGCAATGGGGGTGATCTTTGCCTTTTACGAAGGGCTTAATGAGAATGTTAACAGTTACAACAGTTGTGAAGAAACAACATTAGTAAGTAACAAAGAGAAGCTAAACACATGTAATATATATTCATGTGTGTGTTTTGACATTTATAAATGCAGTTATAGGTTTATAAGGTGAAGCTCCCATGCTGAATATATGATCGTATTTGATGTTATTGTTAGTTGTGCATAGGGGAAAAGATATCCGGCACTTTCTCATTTCTAAAAAACCTAACAAACAAAGCACGAACATGCTTTCCTTTCACTCTGTTCATGTTTGTTTTCAATGCAGGTTATATATATATAATGTTCCAGTTTCTTGGAAATAAAACCTGATTTATGATGGGTGTTTTACAGTTGATCAAACCCTGCATTTGAGGGCACGTAATTAATTAATTAGAGTTAGATTTCTGACAGCTTCTTGATCAAATATTATTATCATGATATTTATATTTATTTAATAGTAGTAATATAAATAGCTGGATTTAATGGGATAATCAAATAATATTATGTGTTTTTTTAAATGAATGGTTATAATATATTATTCCATGTAAACATTATTAGGTAAAGTTTGTCTTGGAAATTAAAGAGTAGATGAAACGCAGCTTGGGAGGATGGTCCGGTAATTAATGATGAAATTTGGCAATTAAAAGAGCAGGTTGATGCATTTCTCTTTCATGCATATCTTAATTGGCATCAAATTTGACTTATTTTAATGTAATGATTATGTCTGAGCATTAGCACACAAAATATGAAGAACGATTATGTTTATTACTATTAATCAGCTATGATTGGATAGCATTATTTTCAGATTTTAAAAAACGAATGAAAATACTTGTAGTTGTACGTTCATTTGGTGTGCGGGAATATGTTTGCGAATATTAAATAAATGTATTTATAAATATTTAATAAATGAACATAAATATATATATTTTTAATAATTAAACATAATTTTAAAATCTTAAACATATATAAATGAAACATAGATAAAGTTAATAAACAAATGAACGAATAAAAGTTTATTTATTCGCACTCGATTAATTTAATGTCCTAACACACAAGAGAGTAGATAAAAAAACAAATGTACACGTATTACGTAGACGCAATTATTAATGTAAATTAATATTCAAATTACCTTTTTAAAATTGATAAATTTAACCAAATGATATGAAATCTTTATAACAACTCATTAAGTTTATGAACAATTAAAAAAATTCCAAATGTCAATTTAATGGAATTTGTCAAATCTAAGCCAAACTCCAGTAGTCATTTTATCGTTTAACCCAAAAATGAGAAATCATAAAAGGAAAAAAAGACGAAGACAGATATTTGTCACGTAATAGAAATGGTAGCAAAGATAAGGATTTGATTATTGACCCCTTCCATCCTCTGTACTGTTCTACTGCCACTCAACGAAGTAACTTACACATATCAGTTTCTTCTTTTTTGTTTTGATCGAATACATATTTCAGTTTCAGACTGTCTGTTATTCCATTTCTGTTTTTCAACATTCAAGTCAACCATTTCACTTTCACTATCTCCTTCTCTCTTGAAATCATCAATTGAGAAACTTTCATTGGAAAAGCATAGTTTTCCATTGTCTTCATTAAAGGAGTTGCTTAGCTCTCCAAAGCTCTCTTCACTTGCCAACTCATATACTTTACTTCAGCACTCTCTCTTCTTCTCCATCTGAAAAGCTATTTCACCTAATCATCCTGCAGAATCTAACCCCTCATTAAAAGTTAAAGAAACTGAATGATTTTTCACAATTCTAGCTAGGCAAAATCCCGTCTTCCCCCACCATTGCTTCGGCATCATAAGTAAAGACATCCTATTAAAGTGCATCTTTTACTTCTACAAGCTTTTCCTTTCATTTTTCTGTCATGCACTCAAGCTTGTTCCTTTTTCAATGAGTTGGGTTGTCTTGGCTCCTCTTCTCGGGGGGTGAATGGGGCGTATGTTTTCTCAGTTGGTTGCCAAGTTTGCTTTTTTCCCACCATCTCCACCAACTTATCAGATTAAGAAGGACGACAACAATGGGAAACTCAAGGTGGTTTCGTCTTCCTCAATGCCTGCTCCCGTTGCTGACGATCCTTCTTTGGATGTGCTTTTGATCGACACCAAACACGGGAACAAGATTGTTGACTTTTACTTGAAAAACCCATACGCACGTCTTGCCGTGCTCTACTCTCATGGCACTGCTGCTGACCTTGGCCAACTCTATGACCTCTTTGTCCAGCTCAAGGTCAACTTCAGAGTCAATCTCATGGGGGTAAGTATTTCTTCTTTTCCAGTTATTTTCTGGTTCAAAATAATGGTCAACTTCACTTATACAAGTCATTCAACTGGCTTGTTTAAGTGCTTTTCTTATTTGGCTTACATCTCTAATTGTTCATCACTTTAGTTTCAATTCGTGTACAATCAGATGTTGCAGAAATGTTACTTCATCGCTTTAGCTGTTCTTTTACTCTGCTATTTACTATCATGTTATCAATTGATCCAGGTATGACTATTCTGGCTATGGTGCATCAACTGGGAAGGTAGCTCATTGTCTTTATAATGCTGCATTGCTCTAATTATGGCTGTTTCAATCATGCATATGCAGGGATGATCATCCACTATTCAATATATTTATCGTCGTAGTCGATTCGTCCCGGATTTTGTATTTTGTCTTCTCAAGCTATCTTAATGGTGGTGTCTTTGCTAATATAGAGGCGGTGTATCAGTGTCTTCAGACCGAGTATGGAATCAGTCAGGAAGACTTAATTTTATATGGAGAATCGGTTGGAAGCGGACCGATGTTGCATTTGGCAGCTAAACTTCCGAGGCTAAGAGGTGTAGTTTTGCATAGAAGCATTCTTTCCGGCCTAAGTGTGCTCTGCCATGTTAAGTTCTCGTTCTGCTTCGACATTTATCAGGTAGTAATATATCTATGTTTGCATTCTGAGGAAGATATTCCAACATTATCAATTATAGGAACAATCTGATAATCGGTAAGAACCGATAATTTGTCGGTTATACTGTTGGGACTGTTAATGGCCTGTGAACCAAATTCGAGCAGCATCGATGTGTTTGTACTTTGTAGTCTATATATCTGCTGCTATGCTTGACCTAATTACAATGTTCATAATCGCAGAACATAAAAAAGATTCAGAAGGTGAAGTGTCCTGTCCTTGTAATTCATGCAAGTACCTTTCAAATTTCTGTTTTTCATTAGCTCCTGTATCGAATTTCAAAGTTGGTCGGAATCGGATCGAACATTTTAGTCAGGGTACGGAAGATGATGTTGTCAATTGGCTGCAAGGAAATGGACTTTGGAAAATGGCAAGGGAACCGAACGAGCCTCTGTGGATCAAAGGAGGTGGTCACTGCAACTTGGAGCTATACCCTGATTATATTCGCCATCTTTGCAAGTTTGTTTATCAAATGGAGAACACGACAACATCGACTCGCCTTAAAAGGATTCGGCAGAGTCTCGGTTTACCAGCAAGGTCGAATGCCATCTCCTCGGTTACCAGTAACGGGTTCTGTAAGATTAAATTATGCCCCAAATGTCCAAAACCAAAGTGCAAATGTTGCCGGTGACCGAAGTGGTTTTGCTGTCGGAAACCGAAATGCCCAAAATGCAGGTTGAGTTGTTCCTGCTGCTGCTTCAAATGTCAAGAGTGGAGATGCTGCGTGGGTATAGATAAAGGGACAAATGATGAACAAGAGGGCCATTGTATATGTGGTGTTCGGATTAAAGCTTTAAAAGATAATAATAAATCTCTCGAGCACTGAATAATTAAGGTAAAATAAGTATAAAGAGTTAATGTAAAATGATATTATTTAAATAGTTAAAATATTTGATTTTTAAAATAAATTCAAATAGAATAATAAAAGAATTAAATCTCAAATAAAAAATTATATAACATAGGAAGAAAATAAATATATCGACAGATGGATGTAGTTTAAATCAGAGTGAATTAAAGAGTTTTTTTTTTCATTTTTTAACAATATCAACTAGATTTTATTAATTAAAATAAAAGAATGAAATCTAAATTACAATGCAGTCAGTACAGATAGAAAAATGGAGACAATAATATCAAAAAACTCATACAAAAACAAAATTATTAAATCTAAAGATACCAAAAAAATAAAATCTTCTCTTGAGAATGACAACCAACATAAAAAAAATCCAGTAACCTTAATAAAAATTCCTAACCTCTGTCGAACGAGACGCTTTACGAAGTGATAAAGGAGTGGTGAGCAAATCAAATTATCTGACAGTATCTTTCGCTACACAATTCTGATTATATCCACAAACAACCTTTACTAAAGAGGGATTTAACTATACTTAATCGCCGACAAACTAATCAGAAAACAAATGGCGTTTGTGCGAGCACCAAAACGACCGTAAAAGTATGCAAAAAACGTACCAAAAGTCCCAAGGATCACGCCACAAGAATAGAGAAAGCATGTGTTACCAGATCAGAGAAAAACGTGTCACAAGAACATAATTTTTTATTCAATTAAAAAAAACTCCAAAAAATGACATGTTATGAAAAAAAAGAACTAGAAATCACCAACGGTCGACAACTAACATTAAGACTAATGTCACCGACGATTAAACAAAGTCAAAAGAAAAGAAGATGGCACAAAAACATTAAGAGAAAATTTAAGTGAAAAAAACATTAATTGAATTATATTCTTAGAAGGATATAAGGAGTTTGTACATATAATAATTGTAATTTCATATCTCAATTAAATTACATTCGATAATTATAACATTAGATAGGTTGAGATAATTGTAATTCCTTTTTATTTTTTTAATATAATCTTCGAACGATTTTGCTAATTATTTCTAATGATGGTGTGATTATGTCAACTAAGATACTGAACTCTGTTGATTGCAGGTGATGTTGGACCCTCCCCGTGCTGAGCCTCAAAAATGGCACAGAAGGTGATGGAAATTCCATGGATCTGAGTGAGGTTGATATTCGTCTTCCAATGTTAGTTTATGTTACTCTTGAGAAGCGACCTGGTTATGATCACAAGGAGAAGGCAGGAGCCATGAATGCACTCGTTTGAGCTTCTGCAATCATGTCCAATAGCCCCTTCATACTTAATCTTGATTGTGACCACTACATTTACAATTCCCTAGCAATGAGAGAAGGCATTTGCTTTATGATGGACAGAGATGGGGAGCGTATTTGTTATGTCCAGTTTCCTCAGAGGTTTGAAGGAATTGATCCATCTGATCGCTATGCCAATCACAACACAGTTTTCTTTGATGTTAACATGCGAGCTCTTGATGGACTTCAGGGTCCGGTATATGTTGGAACAGGATGCCTTTTCTTCGCACTGCCCTCTATGGTTTTGAGCCACCTCGGTTAGAAGATAACCCAAGTTGCTACAGCTACTGCTTTCCACGTTGTAAGAAACCCGTGTTAGATTTGTCTAGAAATTAAGTTGACAAGGTGGAAATTTCATCTTGGTTGGTGGCCGACTTATTGGAAATTTCATCTTGGTTGGTGGCCAAACTTTGAACATGTGAATTTCATATTTGGTGGCTAACTTACACACTGGAAAATTTTTTGGTAGGTGACCAAACTTTGAACATATTGTTCTTAAAACTCAACTATAAATAGGCCTAAGTATTTCCATTAGAAATCATCCCAAAACAAGTTCTCTCTTCCTCTTGTATTCTTCATTCTCCCACTTTGGGAATTCTAAAGAATTCCATTTGTTGTGATATTGGCGATATAGTGAAGTTATCATCCGGTGTGGTGCCCGAGGAGTAGACGATATTCTCGTCGAACCTCGTAAATTTTGTGTGTTCTCTCCTTTATTGTTTTTTATTCGGTTTTTCCATTGTGTTTCAATATCCAATAGTTTGATAGATTTATCCGCTGTACAACCTTTGGTGGTTTGATCTTGACATTTTAGGTCAATTTTGAAACTACGTTCGTGTGAGAAATAACCCATTTCCCCAACAATTGGCATTAAGCTTTGGTTGAGGTTATCCTGGTGGTTCCGTTGCTGAAAAGATACAGTTCGTGATATTGAATATTGTTGTTAGAATTAAAATGCCAAAATACGGATCAGTTGAGACATCAAACTCTTCATCTGGACCGGTGAGGAGGGTAATGTCAAATGCAAATTTCTCGGTGGAGTTGTTCGATGGATCCGGTCATTTTGGCATGTGCAAGGCGAGGTGTTAGACACTTTATTCCAACAAGGTCTAGACATCACCATTGAGGAAGAAAAGCCCGAATATATAGAAGATAAAGAATGGGAAACAATCAATCGTTTGGCGTGCAGCACGATTCGATCTTGTCTTTCCAGAGAGCAGAAGTATGGCTACAAGAACAAGACTTCTGCAAGTAAGATGTGGAAAGCATTGGAGGAAAAATTCCTAAAGAAAAGCTCTTAGAATTGTCTCCACATGAAGAAAAGATTGTTCAGATTTGATTATCAACCAGGCACCAGTATGAATGAACATATCACTGCGTTCAATGAGCTAGTGGAAGACTTATTGGGCATGGATGAAACCTTCAAAGATGAAGATTTGGCCTTGATGTTGTTGTCATCTCTTCCAGATGAATTTGAGCACCTTGAGACAACGTTACTTCATGGTAAGGATAATGTACCCTTAAAGATGTACACTGCTTTGTATAGTTATGAACTCATGAAGAAAACCAAGAAGGATAGCAAGTACGAAGCAGCGGAGGCCATGGTGGCAAGAGGTCGCTCGAAAAGTCAAAATCCAAAGTGGAGAGGGAGATCAAAGTCGAAGTCCATACTGGGAAAAGATGAATGCGCCTTTTGTCATGAGAAAGGCCATTGGAAGAAAGATTGTCCGAAGCTGAAGAAGAAAGGAAAAGTTGCTCCAGATGCATGTGTTGCAGAGCATGATGCACATGACTCTGACATATCATTGGTTGCTTCATTAACAACATTCCATTCCGATGAGTGGATATTAGATTCGGGTTGCACCTATCATATGTCTCCTAATCGGGAGTGGTTCTCTGATTTAGTAGAACTAAATGCAAGAGTTGTTTATATAGGCAATGACAATGACTGTAAAACTGTTGGGATAGGTTCAATTCGATTGAAGAATCAAGATGGATCAACCAGAGTTCTGACGGATGTCCGATACGTGCCCAGTTTGAAGAAAAATCTCATCTCGTTGGGAGCCTTGGAATCCAAAGGCTCAGTAGTCACTATGAGAGATGGAGTTTTAAAAGTCACATATGGCGCACTTGTGATGATGAAGGGCATCAGGAAAAATAATTTGTATTACTACCAAGGTAGAACAATTATTGGAACAGTTGCAGCAGCTTCCGGAGGTGATGATTTGGACGCAACCCATTTGTTGCATATGCGGTTGGGACATGCTGGAGAGAAATCCTTGCAAATTCTGGCAAAGAAAGGATTGTTGAAAGGTGCAAAGGCTTGCAAATTGAACTTTTACGAGCATTGTGTTCTGGGAAAACAGAAGAGAGTGAAGTTTGGCACCACTGTACATAATACAAAAGGTATTGTAGATTATATTCACTCAGATGTATGGGGTCCTTCAAAGACATCGTCTTTGAGAGGAAACCATTATTTTGTAACTTTTGTAGATGCCTTTTCCAGAAGAGTTTGGGTGTATCCGATGAAGTCTAAAGATGAAGTGCTTCAAATTTTCCTTAAATGGACAAATATGATCGAGAACCAGACTGGTAGAAAGATCAAACGTCTTAGGACGTACAATGGAGGGGAATATAAAAGTTAACCAGTCTTTGACGTTTGCCATGAGTATGATATTGTTCGACACTTCACTGTTAGATATACACCACAACTAAATGGGGTGGCATAGCGTATGAATCGAACACTATTGGAGAAAGTTTGATGTATGTTGTCTAATGCTGGTTAGGCAAAGCATTTTGGGCTGAGGCTGTGACATATACAGGTCATCTCATCAATCGTCTGCCGTCATCAGCGATAGGAGGAAAAACACCATTGGAGGTATGGTTTGGAAAACCTGCTACTGATTATGATTCCTTACATGTATTTGGATCCCCTGCTTATTATCATGTGAATGAATCTAAGCTTGATCCGAGAAACAAAGAATACTTTCTTTATGGGAATCACCCATGGAGTGAAGGGATTCCGCCTTTGGTGTTTAGACACCAAGAAGATAATTTGTAGTAGAGATGTTACCTTTGATGAATCTTCCCTAGTAAAGAAGGTAACAAGTGAAGCTGTCCAGACAAGTAGTACTCCGCATCAGGTGGAGTATACTCCAAAACAGGTGGAGTTTCAACAGACGATGATCCCAGAAGTTGATGCAGCTGATTCTTTAACTCCAATAGAAGAATCAGAAGATGAAGAGGTTCAAACCCAAGAACCATTGGAGACACCAGAACCACTTGCAGTTACAAGGCCAAGGAGAGAAATTCGTAGACCTGCTCGATTTGTTGATATGGTGGCCTATACTCTTCCAGTTGTTGATGATGATATCCCTATCACTTACCAAGAAACAATACAAAGCTTGGACAATGATAAGTGGAAAAGTGTCATGGATGAAGAAATGCAATCTCTCCAAAAAAACAACACTT